AGCTTTGAGTAACAAATATCCTACATTGATCAAATACCTCTGGTAACAGGCAGTGCCATATTACACAGGTGATTTGTAGAAAATTCTTGCAGCAAGGTGACATTTCCATCACTTTGTGTCTACCATGATGTGAACTGCATGCAATGCCTATGCTTCCTCCCTTTAGATGCCTTTAGGTGGCTGAAAGCAATGGCAGCCCAACTTCTTTGTATCGGTACATGGCTTGCAGGGCTCTTCCACCCTGCCTATGTAAAAACAAAGGCTAAGTTAACCTAAAAAGATAAACACATGCCTTTTGCAGCAACAAGGATGGAGCTGGAAGGGATCATGATTAGTGAAATAAGCCAGAAAGAAAAGGAAAAATACCGGATGGCTTCACTCATAGCAGGAGTATAAAGGATGGACCAGGCGAGAAAATAATAATAATGAACAACTATATACCAGAGACTTTTTAGGGGGGTGGCGGGGGGAATGGGATCAAAAACGGTGCGGGGAGGGAAGTGCACTGGACTATGGCGATGGCACATAGGTGAATTGGTGGTGGGAAGTCCACAGGGATTACAACTGTGATGGAAAAAGGCACAAAATGATGTAAAAATAAACAATATAAAAAAAAAAAACCAAAGGCTGAATTATGTTCTGTTTTTTATGTGTGTGTGTGTGTGTGTATATATATATATATATATATACACCCAGTAGAGGCACTGAAGTAACTTTTGGATGTAAGTTCTACTAAGCCAAATACTCTAAAGAAAGAGACAGCACACCCCATCACAGGTTATCATTTTGCTGTGTATGAGGACTTGCAGCTGTGCAGAAGAGTTCAGGGTGACGCATAAAAAGGGAAATGAGCCTGTACTTAAGCCACCAACTGATGATGGCTATCTGCCATCTATCTTTGAGCTCTCTTCTCTTCATTTCATGTCTCCCTTGAATTAGTGAAACTATCAACCAGCCATTCCTAGGGCTAGTCAGGGGAGACACTGCAGCCAGCTTTTCCTGTTGTTATGGAAACAGTTGTTTTATGAGACTTTTTTCCTAAAAGAAAGAAAAAGCCAACCAAACTCTGTGATTCAATAAAAGTCAAGAGCAAGTATTGTCTACATTCCTGACATGAGTGGCAAGACTGGGAATTGGTTATAAAAATTTTATTTCACCAGAACACTTGGAACAACAAAAAATCAGCCCAAGTTCTTATAATAAACTTGGAATACTTGAGAAAACTAATAACCAATTTTCAGGGCGGTCTGGCTATTAAACCTACCATTTCAGTCACCATCAACTTATAAATGTGTTGACAGCAAGATTATATTTCATTGACCTTTGTGCCTCCAGGGTCTGGCACCTTGAAGGTGTATTGAGTCTTTGCTGAATTTACCAAGAACAGAAAGGCTTTCCACTCTGCCATTCCCCATACCTTGTCCCTAATTGGAAGAAATCACTCTAAGGAGATCAATTGTGGACTCTTCCAGAGGGTTCCAACAACCTAAAGATACTCTTCAATCATTCTGGCCCTTCAGGCTCCTGCAGACACAGCAGCAGAGAAAGCTCATCCAAAACGGACTGGCTCAGACAGTAGCCAGATTGTAGCCCTATTTTTGTGATCAAGAAAGAATGGCACATGGTATGGGATACAGTGGTGGTGGGAAGGGTGTGGTGATGCTCTCTGAGGAGGTATAAACCTATTCCCCTGAATCATGCATAGAGATGGAAACCAATATTACCATAAGTAAATTAATTTTTAAAGAGAGAGAAGACAAACCTGCTTTCCCTATAGGCTATACAAATTTCTGGCTTGTGCTCCTTTATTTGTCAAGAAGAGCTACAGCACAGCTGAGTGGGTTCTGATGCTGCTTTCGCCTAATTCTCGAAATTTCTTCAATCCTTCTCAAACAATGTGTACATATCCAACTTGGCTCCATTTTAAGAAGTTCACTGAAATGGACTTTTATAGCATTTTTTTTTTGGCTAAGGAAATATTTCCTGATTTAGAAATTTCTGTCACCCATGATCAAACACTGAAAAAGTGCTAGAGAAGCATCTGTATCTTCCAACTGTATTACTGAGTTATCAGATCCTATTAAGAAGAAACTTAATACCTGTAAATTAAATATATACTTTATATATTTGACGCATTTATGGAATTGAAAGTATCTAAAATGCAAAATGCCTGTGATGCAAAAAGCTGTCATACATACATACTGATGGAATCTGCCAGATTCTGACACATGAAAGCCGAGTAGGGCAGCAACTCGTACACGAGACCCCATCCCCAGGTAGCAGCACCCTACCAGCACAGCTCCCACTCGCAGTACTTGAATCTGGCCCTTGGCAAGGCCAATATTGACAGCACAGTCATCAAACACTTTCTTCAGTTATTGGTCAACAGAGAATCTTTGGCTCAGATCAAGAACACTACTGCTCCTTTGTGTTTCTTACACATGTCACTTTGGCAGCCATTCTATTCAACAGATACTGCTGGTGCTTCCATCTGTCAATGCCACTTTGGAAAAAGTGACTGTTGCTCAGGATAATAACCAGAATATGTATGTAGATGTGCAGATATATAGGCATACAAAACCAAAACCATACATGTGCACATATAAACATATCACAAAGAAATATATACCCGCCTTGGGAAGTAACCACGAGGTGCTCTCACTTAAAGAACTCTGATCTAGTTTCAACAGTAAGGAACTCACCAGGCTGGGAATTTAAATCTGGATGGAAATAATATTTGTTTTCTTTCAGTTTTCCAGGCCAGAGACTTTTTTCCTCTCCATTTTCCGTAACAACTCTGAAGTGCTATGGAATCTCCTTTTAGTATTTTGCATTCATGAATGTACTTTGTTCTACATTTACAAATACAACAGTAAATAAAACTAATGATATTCCTGCCCTTATGAGCCATACAGTTGAATGGGATATATAGGAGTATATACACACATGTCATAAGACAGGTAGGAATGTTTATTGTAAGGGTTAGTTGAGGGTGTTATGAGAGCTTAAAAATGGAAGGATATTAACTCAAATTTAGGGTATCAGAAAAGGTTTTCTGATAGAAAAAGATAATCAGACTTGAATCTATCCCATTTCCTCATTCTATGAACATAGCCAAGGTTAAGAGTTCTTTTCTTTGCCTGGTCAGCCATCCTATTCTTATAACTTATAATTTTTTAAAAATTATTTTTATTTGTTTTTTATACTGTTCTTCATTTTATGCATTTTTTCATCTCAGTTGTAGTCCCCGTGGACTTTCTGCCACCAATTCACCTATGTGCTATCAACATAGTCCCGTGCACTCTTCTTCCCTCAGTTTTGATCCCATTACTCTCTCCACCTTCGTAGAATGCCTCTGTTTTTACTTTATTACAATTGCTTCCCTCCGCCACCCACCCCCATCCCTTAAGCTTCTGTTATGAGTGACTTTTATGCTTCTAATCTCATCTTTGACAGAAACCCTTCTCCTCAAGCAACTCACAAACTGGATTCGATGTTGCTGAGTCTTCCACTGATCTTTCACACTTTTGCATGCCCCTTTATTTAAGACATAGAGAATCACCCCCACTTCCTAAAATGTGTTGTGCTCACCAGCTAGCCATTACAGCTCAAGTTCAATCCCCAGCCAGGGAGCTGACCTACAGGGCGCAGCAGACCTCTCCTGTTCCGCCCGCTCCTCCCCTCAGCAGTGTACTTTGTCAGTCTCCCTGTTCTTCTCCCCACTCTGTCCTGGTGAAACCTCTCACCTCCCATACCTCTGGCCTGCACCCCAGTCCTTGTATGCATAAATAATCTTTAAAACAACAAACAAAAAAGAATATCTAATTGGGAGGCTTGTATTTTACAGTAATAGTTGAATGCTTATTACGTGTGAATAATTTCCTGAGTACTGAATATGTGTCAAGCACATTGTTAGGCACTTAAATAGTATCTTATTTAATCGTCAGCACAATTCTGGAGATAGCATCATCATTTCACAGAGGAAATGGAGAGGCTGACCTATTCAAGGTTACTCAGATAAACAAGTAGTAAGAGTCAAAGTTTGAACCCTGGTCTGGTTGAATGCAAAGTACATGTTTTTAAATACTACTTCAGAAGTATGTCCCCTAGCTAACTTGAGAGGTTAGGCAAAAACATTTCCCTCTGGATTCCAATTTGCTCATTTGTTTGCTGAGTGAGACAATGACATAAGCCCTTTCCAGCTCTGCAGGTTACAGTGTGACAGTTCTAAGCAGCAACAATAATCACCTCAGCCTTGCCTGCCCTCGCTGCAAGAGTGAGTTTTCATGAAGCATACTCTTGGGGTTTTCAAATAGCATATTCTGCTTATATTCTTTTTCTTTTGAAAAAGTCCCAAGAGATGCTGAAGGCACAGAAAAGGGACTCATTTTGACATATTGCTTTGAAACTAGAACCTGCTGTTAGTCAACAGAGCCAGCAAGTTGTTATTTTTCTTCTACAATCCTTTGTGGGCAAGGACTGGCTGAAACTGTAAAAAAGGGCAAAAAGAGAACTTACATCCATGGACAATTCAACTACCAGAGAAATAAAAATGGTAAAAGGAAACAGTGAAAATGCAGTCTGTTCACCACATTTCAACAGCAGTGTTGCAGGTGCAGCTGGATAAAGAAAAGGATTTAGTGGTTCTCTTGACATTATGGGAGGATTGCTCAGTTGCAAGACTCATACTCTATGTGTGCCACAAAATTTACAGCCTGGGATTGCAGCAGCAGAGATTCTATCCCACAAGTATTTATTGAGGACTTTCTCACGTAGAATGTGCATAAATGTTAACACCTCAGGCAGCTTTTTTTTTTGGCACAGCTATATGGAGGAAAGTACATTATTAAGAAAAGCTCTAGTCCTGTTGTTATGCACTAGGGAGTCAATCAGAGAGAACAGCAGTAAGATGATTAAACATCACTGTCATTTTCAGAAAATTGTTCAATATAGGAGAATAAACACACAGAAAAGAGTTTTTATCTTTAAATCTCACTGACCTTCTTAACAGCAGTATCTCCTTTAGATGGGTGACAAGATGGAGACATTTTTACCTGGGGAAAAAGTAAAACATTTTAATATCTTCTTAGTTACAATTTAGTTATATTTCACTAACACTAAAAAAAAAAAAAAACTCAACTAGAATTATTGTAACTGAGATAAAAGAGTTATTTTTCAGAGGAGCAATAAACAGGTTCATTGATGACATTCCTTTGATATTTTTCTGGAGATTAAAAAGTCAGTAGTTCACTAAGAAAAAAAAGTGGAGTAAAAAAAAGTGGAACAGATGGTCCAAGTTGGTTTTAACCAATGGTGAGCAAACAAACAGACATGGATTTTTGTTGACAATGTTAATCAGCTGATTCAGTGCACACTAAAATTTCTTTCAGAGGGCAATTCAAAGCATCTCTTGTGATTTAATATCACTTTTAAGTGAAACATGCAGCAACGAGTTTGATAATTATAGTGAAGGATTGAGAAAAACTATCAGCTAAGTCTAATAAAAGGATATTTAGCCCAAGGAAAAAAGATTGGTGGTACATGAAGATCTTCAAGTAACAAGTGTTGAAAAAGATGGTCAGATTAAACAACAAGCCCCAAGGATATGATACACGCAAAAAACATACTGTAACTATAAAGACACAGGTCAAACACAAAAGGACTGGGGTGATATACCATGATAGCACTAGATCTCAGAGTACCAGTCTTCAGGGATAAAGAAAATAATTTCATATTAGTAAAAAGTGAATTTATGAGGATATAAGAATCCAAAATACCTATGAATCTAATAGCTTAAAAGTTTCTGCATAATGAAAGAAACCACTGTTAAAATGAAAATGCAATCTACCAAATAGAACATAGTTGCAGACCATATTATCAAGGGGTTAGCATAAAAAATACATGACCAACTCATAGAAGTCAGCAGCATCAAAATAAATAACCCAATTTAGAAAAAGGGCAGAGAATCTTAATAGACATTTCACCGAAGAAGACATACAGATGACCAACAACACATGAAAAGATGTTCTTTGTTGCTTATTATTAGGGTAGTACAGATAGAAGCTGCCATGAGGTTTAACCTCATATCTGACAGAATGGGTATTATCAAAAAGACACAAGTGCCAGCAAGGATGTGGAGAAAAGGGAACCCTTGTACATTGTGGGTGGAAATGTAAACTGGCCCAGCCACGATAGAAACAGAATAGCTACTATGGAAAAATAGAACCAGCACTTGATCCAACAATTCTACTCCTGAATGTTTCCTGAAGAATATGAAAATACAAACTAGAATATGTACAAGTATCCTTATGTTCATTGTATCATTATTCACAACTGTTATGATATGGAGCCTATGTGTCCCTAATAAGTGAATGGATAACACAATGGCATAGCACTCTGTATCAGTAGAATAAACAAACAAACAAACCCAAATGTTGAAAAGCAGACTGGTGTGAAAGTTATTCTATGTTGGGTACCAGGGGATAGAATGTGGAAGAATTGGGGAGATGTTCCTTAAGGGTACAGATTTACAACTAGTAGATAAGTCCTTGATACTTCAGGCACTAAACTGAGATTTTGGTCAACAATACTGTATTATCAACACAGCAAAGAAATGGTAATTATGGCACATAAAAAGGTGTTAATTAAACTACTGTAGTGATCATTCTGCAACATATGAATGTATCAGACCAATACCTTGTACAGCTCAAACTTATACTATATCTCAACTAAAAAAACCTGTAAAAAAGGACATTGAAAAGTTATACAACACAATCACTTTGGCCAGATGGACATTAATGGAATATTCCACCTCACAAAAGCAGAATACATATTCTCCTGAAGTACACACAATTATCAATACAGGCCTTTTCTGGCAATAACTCACAATAACTTAAAATTATTCAAGTCATATAAAGAATATTATCTGACTACACTAAAAATAAATTAGATAGCAATATTAGAAAGATTTATGGGAAAATTCCCAAATGTTTAGGAAGTAACATATCTCCAAATAACCAATGGACCAAGGAAGAAATAAAAAGAAAATTAGATCCTAGTAATCCACAACCTACTAAAGCTGAATCATGAAGAAATAAAATAAGAGTAGGTTAATGACTAGTAAGAATATTGACTTGGTAATCAAAACCTCCCAACAAAGAAAAGCCTTGCATCAGATAGTTTTATTGAAGAATTGTAAAAAACACTTATGAGTTAATGTCAGTCCTTCCAAACTTCTCCAATGAACTGAAGAGAAGGAGACACTTTCAAATTAATTTTAGGAGTTCAATACTTCTCTGATACCAAAGTCAGACAAAAATACAAGAAAAGAAAATTATAGGCTAATATCCCTGATAAACATGGAAAAAATTCTCCACAAAATATTAGCAAACTGAGCTCAAGATGGAAGTAAGGAGGGTTCAATATGCACAAGTCAATAAAGGTGACAAACCACATTCACAGAATTCAGGGAAAAAAACACATCATCATCTCACTTGAGGCAGGAAAGCTATTTGACTAAATTTAATACCTTTCCATGACAAAAACACTCAACAAATTAGGATTAGAAGAAAGCCATCCAAGCAAAAATATAACACCAAAATTCAAATAAAAAAACGGAAAATACCCCAATGTACTAAAGGTTACAAATGTAAAAGCATGATGTAACATGTAACATCATACTCTACAGTTAAATACTGTACACTTTTCCTGTAAGATCAGAGACAAAACAGCCTGCCTTCCACCACAGAGGTGTGACCCTATGCCTGAGAATCAGTGTTGCAAACAATGTTACTTCTATTAAAAAACATAGTAAAAGAAACAAGCCAAACAAACACATAATCAAAGCTCTACTTTATATATGTGCAATTTATTTTATATCAATTATTTGTCAATAAAGCATTTGAGGAATTTTACAGACTGTAGGTAAAACAAGACTTATAAGGAACTTTAGTGTTTTATGCTATAACTGGAAAATAAGTTTCAAAAAGAGGGAACTAAGCTTTAATTTAAGAAGCTAGAAAAGGACCAAAGTAAAACTAAGCAGGAAGATGCACACAGTAAGGAACAGAATTCAATACAATAGAAATAAAACAAAGAACAGAGAAAATTCAAAAAGCCAAAAACAGATTCTTTAAAAATATCAATGAAATTGATATACTGATATTTAAAATGATGAAAAATATAAATTCCCAATATCAACAATGAAAGAGTATATTTTAGTATATGCAACATTACTTACATTTAAAAGGTATGAACCTATTATGAACACTTTATGCCAATAATTTTACAAATTAAATGAAAAGAACACATTCCTTGAAAAGTTTATAAAACAGATCTAATATAAAACAAAAAGTAAAGCCTTATTTTTATTAAAAAATTAAATCGATCAAATCTTAAAAAGAAAACTTCAAGTTTACATAGTTCAGCTGTGAAAATCAGTACATAGAGGCTAATGTATGAATATCAATTTATGAGTTTACAAAGAAAAATATAATTGGTATTATAAGTAGTGTAATAGATAAAATACATCCAGAGTGATGTAAAAGAGGCCTAAGTACTAGGTAACGAATTGGATTCCAGTTCTCCAGCCTTTTCTAATTCTCACTGCTCTCACTCTAAGAGCCAAAGGGTCTAGATAGATGAAGACATTTCTTATGGCTGTAACATCAAACTACTCAAATAGGTCCATGTTGCAGGCTTTTTCGCTTTTCCTTTCTGACTTTCAAAATAACTTTAGAAAAATACCTCAGCCCAGGGATCAAAACTGCTAGCTGTCCAGACTGTTTTTTTCAGATTTAGCAACTCTGCAAAAATTAGATTTGACAGTCTTTATTCTAACATACCATGACATTAATACTCCAGAATTCACTCCAGATGTATGATGTAGCTTGCTAAACATGATCCAATACTAACTCCTGGTATGCTCTTTTTGAAAAGGGAGAAAATAGATTTTCAAAGCAAAGTAGATATTTAAGCTTAAAAAATGACCTCATGAAAGAATTTGCAGACTTTTAAAAACAAGCCAAGAACTAGATGTGGTGCTGGACAATTTATCTGAGAAAACTGTTCTCTGGAGATTAAGTAAGAGAGTGTTTGAAGTGGCAACAGAAATGGTTTAGCTTTGCTCATGAAAGGTCTTATTTTTCATTTAACAGGATTCCTTCTGGAAATGCCTTAGGCAAGGCATCTAAAAAGAGCCCCTTTAAATCCAGGTGTGCAGACTCTAGATCTGGGGATGTGGATGAATATTAAACCATGGTCTTAATAATGCTAAATGTTTGTGATCTTTGTTAATAAAACAATTGCTGACTTAGAGAGGCAATCTGATCTGAAGTTTAATAGCACCATGTATACCTTTCTTATCATCTTGCCTTTTTACCCTTAAAAAAACAAACCTTAGTTTTTCTAATTACAGAGGAATACATGCTCAACAACAAAAATTTAGGGGGAAAAAGAGTGAAACATGTAAAAAAAATCACATTCTGAATGCTTATTTTTACTTTATCAAAAATTCTTCTACAACATGATTTTTATAAAGAAGTCATTCAATGTATAGGTATATCATAACTAACTAACCAACTATTGGGAGGCTATTGGGATATTTATGTGGTCTAAAGTTGAATTTGCTTAAAATAATTTTTATTATTAAAGTGGTATCTGTCATAGAATATCTGTGTATATAACGCGTGGCACACAATCTTGACGTGTTATTTCCATGTATAGATTCTTGTAAGCCTGCTTCAAGGGTGCAGACATTTAAAAATACAGTCAACTTTTCTCTTGACAAGTTAAGATGGGTCCACAGCCCTCTTTCGTATAACAGCAAATCCAAAAAGCTCAGAGACCAAAGGATTTCTATTTCAAGACATCTTGCACCAAAACCTGAAGTGAGGGGAGGCTATTTATAGTCTTTATTTTTCCCACATAAGCATCTGACTGTGGGACACTGCCCTAAACCTTACTGGGAATATTATATAATACAATATAGAGTAGTCCCCCCTTACTCATGGGGGATATGTTCCAAGACTCCCAGTGACTGCTGTCAGTTAGTACC